CTTCCTTCCTTCCTTCCACCCTTCCACCCTTCCTTCCTTTCTTCCACATAAGTTCATAACCTTGATATTTTACTCCCTCTTGAAGTATAATTAATTTCTTTTGGTGTCTTTTACTTTGTTCTGAAGCTGGCTCTGATGTAATTATTTCTTCATACCATACCGTTTACACTTACCCATATTAATCAAAATACTATTTTCCTTTTCCTACTGTGTTCATAGTAAGTCAGACTCCACCAAACAATCATGCCTCCTTTTGATTAGTGCTGAAGTCAGCCTGCCTTGCCATTTAATCTGCAGTTGGTTTGGTTAGTTAAATGGGTTATTTTTGTTTTACTGATATTTCATACAGGACACAGTTGCATGACCCTCTGCTCATATGTAAATTGCTAGATAAAGTCACAGAAATCTTTTGTTCATACGACTAGAGAGCATTTAAAGATAAGTCAGAAATGAATCACATTATCAAACAAAAAGCTTATTTGCATAGCAAAGCCAAATAACACAATCCTATTAAAAAAAAAAAAAAAAAGATAGCTGAAGAAAAGATTCCACTGACCTTAAAGATTTGATGTAGGCTCTGTAGCTTTGTTTATGACAGAAGTTAATACAAAAACCATACAGATCATCTCTTCCCCATGTGCCATCTTGGGAGTGGATTACACCAATGACTCGAAGAAACCACACATTGCTCAGCTTCAGTGTGCATCTCAAGTGCTCACAATAATTATTAGAATAAGCCTGCTTTAATATTCCATGTGGTGCCTTTGTGGTAGCAGTACAAACCTTGTTCAGCCTGCCTTGCAATTTCCAAATTGTTCCTCAAACTAGTGATTGTTCTCACCAAGGGTTTTAGTCAGGCGAACAAACCACCTACATGACTGAGCTAACAAAAGCCCAGTATGTACCATGGTCTTCATAGATATGTGGTTCTCTGTCAGACATGGGGGAAGCTTCTAGAAACTTCTCACAGAAGCCACCCCTCTAGCACCCCCCACTACCAAAGTCACGCCACGCAAACCAAATCCATCTTGCTGGGGTGGTAAGAAATTATTTTATTCACGAGCATATGTGCAGAAGCCGCTCAGCCTGCAAACCCTAAGAGAATCACTGCCTCTGTGTTAGGCAGGTCCTGGCTCTCTCATGGAGGATGTCTGTGCTTTAGGGTGCCTCCCACAGTGGCTACAGTCCAGCCCTTATGGCCACAATCACAATTCTCACAAGGAATCGTTTCTAACCCTTACAGGTTCCAAGTCCCCACGCCACCCAGAGCCACATGCCACAGAAGGTGCTGCTTGTCTTTGCATAGAGCCAGGGAGAAGAGTAGGTGTGCTCCTCCACTAGACTTGTGCCAGGAGAAAGAGAAGAGTCCTCTCCTCCTACCTCACTTCCTGGGGCACTGTTTTCATCCTGCTGCAGCTCCTCTGACCTGGAGGATCCAGAGTTGGCCAGATCTCATCCTGACAGGTCAGTACAGCTCTTCCCCACAAACCAGTATCTGAAGTAAATTTCTTTTTCCACATCCCTGGTGGAAGCAGAGGCATTAATGGCACCAGTAGTGTAGGGAGAGCAAAGACTGGAGGGCTTGAGTACTGGCATGGAGGGAGGTGAATGGCATGTTACCTCGGTTTGACCACGGATTGAGAACAGTAATCTTGGTGATAAATTTTCTGGCCTGAAGGAATATGTAGAGTATCTCATTTCTTTTCACTAACTGGAAACTAGAAGGTAGCAGACAGCTGCCCCTCACTGCCAGGATGGTGTCAGTAAAGCCATGTGACTGATGGATGTGGAAGGACCTCATGGGAAGGGCCGTGGTCCAGCCCCAGCCACCACCACTGCACCTCCACATAAGCAGACAGATCCTCCACCCAAGATGCCCAGCAGCCTTCTGGAGCAGCATTTCCACCTCCCAAAGACTGGAAGGGAGAGAGTAGAGGAGATCGGGGTGGTAGGGACCTACCAATGCTGGACAATGCAAAGCCACACAGAGATACTTGATCTGACTGTATTTTTTCTGAGACCTAAGCTTGCACCTCATTAAGGTGGCACCTCACTATGTCAGTCAGAGGTACTCATAATTTGGGCATGACCTGGGTATCAGGATGGTTTACATCATGACTGCAAGCATGCCCTACATCACCATTTTCAGCCTTTTTTTGTACTTTCTCAAATAACATTGCTAGAGCAATTTTCATTTACAGCACAGTAAAATCTAGGCTCAGCTTTGACACTTATTTTATTACCTCTATTTTCCTGTTCTGCTTGCTTGCTTATATAAGCAGAAATGTGCACGTATTTATTTTAAAGTTTTTATCTTCTTTCAGGAAGCATTTTCTGATGCATTAAAGGTGATCTGCTGAGAAATACTGAACTCAACTACAAAACAGGCATAGCCCTTTTTAAAGTTACTGAATATTCAAGACTTCTTTCTTCTTTTATTTTTTTTTAATCTATCAAAGCTCTCAAGTGCCTTCATGGCATTGAATTTTGTTTAAAAAATAATAATTAACCATTCAAGTTGTTTCAGTTCAAGCAGTAGAATCATGAGTCCCATTAAAAGC